GAAGAAACTGTTGTAATGTTGAACAAAGTTTACAAGGACAGTATTATGGGGGAAAAATCTCAAGTGTATGAGATTTTCTCGTTTCCATAAGGTGAAATGTCGGTGGATGACAAACTTCATTCTGGACATCCATCAACTTCCCAAAGGGACAAAAATATGAACAAAATCTGTGCACTTGTGTTTGAGGACCAACGATGGACCATTGAAGAGATGGGGAAGTTACCTGGTCTATGTTGGAGCTCAGTTCAGCGAATCTAATGAACTATTTGGGAATGAGAAGGGTTGCTGCGAAATTTGTGCCAAGGGTTCTGGCTGACCAGGAAAAAGATCATTGACTGGAAGCATGCGGCGCTTTGAAAGAACAGCTCCAAAGCAATCCAGACTTTTTCCCCTCAAGGTCATTACTGGTGAGGCGACATGGGGCTGTTCTTATAAGCCTGAAAGCAAACAGCAGTCAAGACAGTGGAAGATGCCATCGTCACCTTGTGCCCCCGCCCCTCGCCCCACTTGTTCACTGAAATCAAAGATTAAGATGATGCTCATTTGTTTCTCATTTTTTATGTGAGGGGGGATAGTGCATTTGGAGTTTATTCCACCAGGTCCGACTGTTAATCAAGCTTTCTATTTAAAGGTTCTGAAAAGGTTGTGTAACAACATGTGGCAAAAAAGACTGATTTGTGGCAGATGGGGGACTGGTTTTGCCACTGCGACAATGCACCTGCTCACACAGCCATCTCAGTGTGCCAGTTTTTGGCAAAAAAATAGCATGCCTGTCTTGCCCCACACACCTTACTCACCTGACCTCGCTCCATGCAACTTGTTTACGATTATAAAGAGGGACATGAAAGACAGCGATTTGATGCCATAGAAGAGGTAAAGAAAAAAGCAAGGGAGGTGCAGTCAGCCATCCAAACAGATGAGTTTGAAACATGTTTCCAAGAATGGCCTTAGCAGATTTGACCAATGTATTATGTGTAATGGAGAGTACTTTGAAGGTGTAAGGTTCTTTTATAAAAAAAGGTTAAATACATAGCTCTGGAAAAGAAATTCCGGGTATTTTTGTGGTACCCCTCGTGTATGTATTGCTGTAAGTTTGTAGGAATATTCTCAAAAATGTTAAGTGGTTTCTCTGGATGCCTTCCTGTGTCTTCTGCATACTTTACTGCGCTGTCTGAATTTTATTTTAATAATGAACATGTGTGATGTTTATACTTTGAAAAACCAAAGTTATTTTCATCTTGTAAGAGCATTTGAATTCCCTTAACGGTTCCAATTTGCTTGCCTTTGAGTTTAGCTTTCATCAAACAACTTTGTCATCTTCAGCTTGCTCCCCTGAGTGCAGCTCTCATCTACATAGAACCAAGATCCAGATTTTGGAAGAGGGTGAACTCCTACAATAAGCGTAGCTTTCCACAATTATCCCCTGTGGACTTGGCTGCAGAGAACAGGTCACCCTCGGATGAAGAGCAGCCTAGGAGCAGATCTGTGACGTGTGCACTGGGGCCCAGCTTCCCTCCCACGCTACCTTCCCTCCAGCCCCTCCCAAGACATTAGCCTGGCCCATAGGGTTTATGACCGCTGCTTGGAGCTTGAGGGTTGAGCAGTCTGGAGACACCTGGCAGCACATTCTAGAGTCTCTGACATGGGAGATAAGAGCTTCAGTTTGAAGTTGTGCACAAGCCCGGCTAGCTGGCTGCTCTGGCCACCTGCCACTGGCTGACGTCAGGAAGAAACTCACACGATACCACTAGAGAGTGTGAAATGAATTTTATTTGGTTTGTAAAAGCGAGATCCAAGGTAATAAAGGGACACAGAACCTGCCAAGATGGAGAAGGAAAAGAAGAGGAGTCACTGATACTTAGATGTCCGTTTTCAACGTGCTTCCATTAAATCAGCCATTGACTCCTTGGTATTCTGTGAGATGCATGAAACACCACAGACCTGCTGGTGGGGAGGATGCGAGGTTCCTCAAGGGACACAGAACTGGCATTACCAAATCTGTGACCTTCCATTCCTACAGCAGTAGGCCGCAAGGTCTCTGAGCATAACGTGCATGTGTAAAGCTGTGGCTTAGGCACAAGAAGCCCTACCGGTTAACCGTGTAGCCATGTGGGGGGCCCTTTCTCTTTCTGAGCCTCGACTTCCTCATCTGTAAAATGGGGATAATAAATACCTGTCCTGCTGACCTCGTGGGGTGGGGACCTAACAAGAAAATGATTTTATTTGTTTTGCTTGTTTTATTCTGCTTATAAGGAGCCCTGCTGACACAGTGCTTAAACTTTCTGCTACTCGGGTTAGCAGTTTTAGTCCACTAGCCATTCCACGGCAATGGGTTTGGGTTTGGGTTTTTTTGGATGTTGCTTATGATAGATTCTCAGCATGAGGCGAAACAGTCAAGTTTCCAGGAAAGAGGCAGCGGCAACCCTGGCCTGCCTGATCTTCTCAAGGAGACAGAATTGGAGTGTGCAGGAGCTCACACAAGCAACTCACCACCATTGAGTCAATTGTGACTTGTGGTGATCCTATAGGACAGGGTAGAACTGCTCCTGTGAGTTTCTGAGACTGGATCTCTCTTCAGGCATAGAAAGCCCCGTTGTTCTCCTGAGGAGCGAGTGGTGGTTTTGAACTGCTGACCTTGCAGATCACAGCCCAATGTGTAGGTGCCATCAGGGCTCCTACAACCACTGTGCCAGCAGGGCACAAATAGTTGCTTGGGGGCCCATAATTTAATCCTGAGAAATTTGGTTTGAGGGTCATTGAAGTCTAAATAACTTTAATGTATATGCTGAGGTTTTCCCACAGCAGGGATCGCTAAGGGGCCTAGAGGGAGAGCTTTGGGGGGCCCCTGACCTCCTTCAACCAGAGCATTCAGCTTTCTTCAGTGGTATTTGTTTTACACTTTTGGGGTAAAATTTGACCCAAAACTTCATGCTTAAAAAAAAAAAAAGTCTGAAAACCACTGCTGCTTCAATCTGCAAATCAGCAAAACTTCTTTAGTGTTTTGAAGGTCACCCAGCCAGCCAAAGATTTCTCTCCCACACCCCTCCTCAGCACTGCCTGACCTAATCCAGCCTTGCCTTTCTGGACTGGACTGCTGTTAGGCTTGCCCCAAAGCCATTTCTTTAGAAAAGTCTAGATGTTTTGCTCTTTTTACACAAGACATTTCCTGATGAACACAGAGCCAGCACTGATAGGGGTGTGCTGTTTTGTGTTATAGTCCAGTGTATGTAAAGTTTTGACAAACCATAGAAGCAGCGAACAAATAAAGGCAGAGATGAAGGGTTGACATACTGCAGCTCCTCTGGTTTTTATGAATAGGTACTAGCCCTCCTGCCGTTATGAATGTAAGTATATCTTTTTAGGTGGACACTCATACCTCACACTGCCATCGAGTGATTCTGACTCACACTGGCCCCTTAAGACAGAGCAGCACTGCCCCTTTGGGTTTGTGAAACTTTGAATCTTTTTTTTTTTCCTCAAGAAACATCTTTATTAATACAGTATTTATTTGTCTTCCCTCTGTCAAACCCTGAGCCAATCTTTCCCCGGGCTGCCTGGGGAGGTGCAGGGAAAGCAACATATAGGGCAGACGAGACGTGGGACAGAGAACTCTGGGAGGTGAAGAAGGCTCCTTCACAGGGCGAAGAGGATGAGGCAGACCATCAGGCAGAAAAGCCCATGGCCTCCGAGAGGCAAAGCCCAGGATGGCGTAGGAGAAGAGCTGCTGCTTCAGAGACGGGTTCCTGGCATCACCAAGGATGAGGCTCCCAAACACAGCCCCAGTGCCAGCTCCAGAGCCTGCCGCTCCAACTGTGGCATCCCGGCCCCAATGAACTTGGCGGCTGTGTCAATGTCCCTTGAGATGGTGCTGGTTTGGAAGCTGCGACTAGGGATGAGTGAGGTCAGGGAACGTGGGGCTGTCAAACTGCTGAAGCGCTCGTCCGTCAGTGTCTCGGGCCGTTTCTGCACCAACACAGACAGTGGTCGGCTCAGCAGCTGGGAGGTGCTCCTGACCAGGGAAGGGGTGGAGACGAATTTGGCGTACATTTTTAGGGGATGAAGGGCAGTAGCAGGCGAGCTGCTCTTAGTGCAGAGAAGACAGAGAGGGGAGGGCGAAACTTTGAACCTTTACAGAAGTAGAGAGCCTCATCTTGTTTTCTGCAGAGCCACTGGTGGGTTCAAACCGCCGACCTTGTGGCTAGTAGTTCCGTGCATAACCCACTGCTTCACCAGAGCTCCTATATGGACACTAGCGGCATGAATAACAATGAAACTGTACAATGAGCTGGCACTTGAGGAGACTGGCTTGCCTTTCAGGGTCTCCCTAGTTTTCTGCCTGGACAGGGTGCAGTTGTATCACTCTCTGTAGTGGAGACTATTTGCATTCTCCCTTTGCCGATGGGTTGCCACGATATACAGGCCACAGCTTTTGCAGGCTTTCGCTGTGATTTCTGGCTGTAAAGATGCTACCCAAATAATGTGGGAGGAAAGGGGGCAGAAGACAAGGGAGGGATGGAAGAAAAGGAGGGTAGGAAGGAAAAGCAGACATGGAAGCCCCTAGAGAGAAAAAATAAAAACAACAGAACAATGTTGCTTTAGAGTTTTTGAGGGCTCCAGCCCGGGTGGACGTCGTGGCTGCCGTGGCCACTAACTAAGTGGCATTGAATAATAATCTCTAAGCCTCAGGTCCCTTTTCTGGAATGTAAGGCTACAACTATTTGCTTAGCTAGATGAAACAGTGACTGCCAGAGGGGCTTGTGGATTGCAGTAAGCGGTCATTGTTGTCACACCCAGCCGAAGACGCTGTCATCGTTTTCTGCATTGTTCTTTGAACAGCTGGTCTGAGGGATTAGGCTCGTGCTCTTTCAGTCTAATTTTGGAGCTCTGAAACCAAACCCAGCTGTTTCTACAAAGTTTTCAAATAGTAGGCTTCACTGGCTTTTGAACTGGGTGAAACTCAGCATCGGTGTAAATTATCTTCATCGGAAACTCTTGAATGTGTAATTAGAATGATTTTTAAAATAGCATTATTGGTGACCCTCTTTGGGGAATATGTTCTTTGATCGTTTGGGTTTTACCTCTGATGTTTCTACTCTGCAGACGCAGGTTGGCTTAGCTTTTCTAGAGCCTCACATTACTTAGCAAATTAAGGAGACCTGTCACTCCCTGACCAACTGATGTGGACGTTTTAGGTTCACGTGCCTCAAAATGTTAGTGTCCTATTTTCTTGTCCAAAGTAGCAAAACTCCCATCGGTAGTTACCCATTTTCTTTAGGCATCTTTTCTAACAGGTAGGACGTTTTGCTCTTTTCTATCATCCTCATCAAATTCTATAAAACCAGTTTCTCCTTTAGGATCATTTTGAGTTAAGTATTCAAGCTTCTATTTAATATTTGGGAGACTAAGTTCTGATAGTATGGAATGAAGTAATAATTCAATGAACAAATATTTCTAGGGGTAAAAATGTAAGAAGTGTGAGAACAAGCTGGATTACATTCCAGTATTAGATGGACATCTACCTCTTAGTCCATTGATCTGCACCCCCTCATTTTTTTTTCAACATACAGGGCAGATTGCTTTCTTAAAATGTGCTTTTCAAAATAAGCAATGCTGCTGGGCTAGTCTATCTTGGGACTCATTGTTAAAGGATCCCTCTGGTCTGCTGCCTTCTTTGGGCAATACCAAACAAACACTAACAACTAGAGCACATGTTCTAACTGGAGGAGAGGCCAAAGCACGGCTCTACCGTATCTCCAACCAACAAGACAGCCGCCACCACGGAGATTAAGCTTCTGGTCTGGGCGTTATGAGAGAAAAACCCCTTCTCTCCAGATTTCATCACACATTTTATAAAAATGTCTTACAGGATTGGTTTTTTCCATTTTTATTAAGCAGGGGATCCAAAAGTTATTTCATTTGGTGAGCCCAAAGATCAGATAAATGATTACTTTGATTTATGCAAAGTAGACCAAAATAGTGTCTGTTCTAAAGTATAATTTCTAAAGAAGATGATTTCTCGGTCACCATCCTTGATGTTGATAGAAGGGGTTTAGAAATCACTGTGTACTGCAGTGTGAAGCATATTCAGAGTATAGCATTCCACTGCCTTCCATTATGGTGACCTAGTGGATGGCACATTGGGTAAGTCACAGCTCAGCAATTTGAAACCAGAAGCTGCTTCGCAGGAGAAAGACAGGGTTTCCCACTTCTGTAAACAGTTACAGTCTTGGAAACTCACGGGGGGGCAGTTCTACCCTGTCTGGTAGAGTAGCTATGAGTCAGAATTGACTTGACCTTCTCTTAGTCATGAGCTGTCAAGCAAAACAGTTCCTACCTCTTATCTAAGCACCGAGACAGTCTTGCTCAACCCATACATATGTTCACTATTTCTTCACTAACAAGTTTGTAGAAATCTGAACATTTTCCAGTGCTGAAACATCTTATCTTCTGGGTCTACCAAGGCAAGTTGCTACTGAGTCAACGCTGATTCATAGTGACCCATGAGTGTCGTCACAGCAGGACTTGCTCAAGGTTTTCAATGACTAGCTTTAGGGGTTTTTGGAAGTAGATTGCGAGGCCTTTCTTCTGAAGTGGCTCTGGGCAGACTCAAAACTCCAGTGCAGTGGAGCACAGTCATGGTTTAAACAGAGAGCCTTATTTTTCTCCTTCTGAGCCGTTGGGGGGTTCAAACTGCTGACTTTTAGTAACCAGCCCAGTGTGTGACCCCCTGTGCCATCAGGGCTCCTAGTCCAGGCTCGAGTAACCTTTAATATTAACAGCCTGAAAAGGAACTACAATGCTTTTTTGCCTCCTTCTGTGGTCTGTTCGGTGATAGGAGCACGGGGTGGTAACGTTGAGGAGCTTGATGTGTTGTTAGGAGAAAACAGTGAGTCCACGGAGTTCAGGGGCTGGTTCTCTGTGTAGTGGGTCCTCTCACCTCATTCCCAGTGGAAGGTGTTCAGCTTTCAATAGGTGAGGGCCAGGGGAGGTGGTGAGATCAGCAAGAGAGAGAAGATCAGCTAGGGATCTCCTTTGGCAAGTGAAGGATCAAGGGAGGGGAATTTGGAATTAGTAAGACATTCTTTTTTTTTTTTTTAATATATATATATGGAAAAGTTTATTTATTTATTTATTTATTT